AATTAATGAACTGTGCTGTGAGAGTTTTTTGTTTTCTGGTTAGTTGGGTCGGGGTGTTGAAATGGCAGAAGGAGGCCCGGCAGCTGACCTGCTGGAGTTGGAGCAGGAGAGAGAGAGAGAGACTCCAGACCTTAGATGTTAGGTTGAGGATTCGAACTTTTGAACCAGAGGAACTGTCTCTACATGGAAGACCAGACAGAGAGGAGCTGAGGATTCACTCCAGATGTTCTGCTGGATTCCAAGACCCGAGAGGACAGACCAGCGAGGAAGCTACTGATGACTGTGTCTGTTTGGATTTTAGAGATGTCAGTGACTCTGACAGACTGTTCGGCTGTATGCGAAGAAGACACCAGCCTTTTGACCATGAGTTTTGGACAGTGGAGAAAGAATGGCCTTGAGCGGAGTATAGACATGAGAGTGCTATGGGCTCACTGGCCCACCTTCATTTGCAGAGACGGAGAGTTGACTCTGCGTGGATTCATGATTGCGGAGTGTTTCCGACGTATAAGGAGGACCAGGACATTCCTGGTTTTCTTCTCGCTGTTTGAATTGACATGTTCTGACCTTGGAGTTCCTCAGCATTACTCCGTGTCTATTCTGAGGTCCCAAGTGACTGGAACTCTTGCTGATTTGATGGGACATATGCCTTTGCAGGATGCCCAGGATTACCAGAAGTTTAAGACTTCGGCTAAACAACGTTTTGCTTTGTCTTCTGAAACCTATAGAAGAACTTTTAGAAAAGTGGATAAATCAGCTTGGCAGACTCGTCTTCATGCTGTAGCTGTGAAGCTGTCTCAGAATTTGGATCATTGGCTGACCTCTGAAGGAGTTTGTTCCGTCCGTGATTTGAGCCTTAGTGCGAGAGTGGGAGCCTGTGTCCATGGCTCAAGCTGCCCACATGGCAGAGTACATGAAACTGCATCAGCCAGAAGTCTCTGGGGAAATTGCCATTTGCAGGAGGGAGCAGTGGAGCGTGCCCAGCAGTTGCAGATGCCGATAAAGTGTCTATGCTGGGCAAGACCCCTGCTAAAAAAGCCTCTTCGCCAATAGCAGAAGTTCATCCTCAAGTTACACCTCGAAGTGATCTCTGTTTGGTTTTTTTGTAAGATGCCAGGACACATACAATCTGGGTGCCCTGTGCTAAGAAACAGAGAAAAGAGGAAAACCAGCACCCCTGGTGTGAGAGCGATGCAGCTGCCTGAGACGACATCAGCTTTGGAGAATTGGGAGGAAGGAGAGCCGGAAGCTCCAACCTCTGCCCCAGCAAGTTGTCCGTCTTCACGTCCGATTTGGACATGAAATTCGCATCAGCAACATTCAGCTGGTGGGACTGAGAGGCAGTGGATCGGATCTGTCTTCGGTGCATTGAGATTTGTTGCTGGATGGACAGGTCATTCCAGGAAAACAGTTCTGGGTTTTCCCCTTACGCAACTGAGCCAATTAAAAGGGGCATTGCAAAAGATTACATTGGCCCCGGTCACACAGAGCATTAGCCACGCTAGAGAGATGGAAGATAGGCGGATTTTCCGGGCGCGATCTCACCGCCACATCTGGGAAGCGTAGAGCTCCCGTGGCTCAACCGAGGCTTCCCGCCGAAGATGCGCGGCAAAAAACTAGTACCTCGGAGGTACTAGTTTCCGGAAACCGCGGGGCAAGGGCAGGCATCTGATCGTGTTTCCGGTGGCATCCGGCACCCGCCCATGCCCCATTGCGAAAAGGGTTGTTTTTTTCCGAGTTCTCCAGGGATGCGCACAAGCACCCAACGGGGCATGCACATACTTCAGGTTAAAAAACAACAACACAACCCCGTTTGCCGCGCCGCTTCTTTGGCGCGTCGTGTGATTGGCACCTCCCCCCTAACCACGGGACCTCGTCGGAACCACGAGGCGACGCCTGATCGCGCAGTCGTGCGTTATTTCGCTGTGGGGCAAACAGCCACGCCTCCCCCCCACGATATCCGGCCCGTGTGACCGGGGCCATGGAATATCAAGACTTTAAGGGTGAGTTGCCTGTTCTCGTTCATGACAAAAATTGTGGTACTAAGTGTCTTATAGGCAATGATTTGGGTTTTAGACAATATCTGTGTGAGATTTTAAATCAACCACCTCTTTCTGTTAAAGTGCTAAGCCGCTCTGTTTCTATGCAGACCGCTCGGGAAAGCTGTGAGGTTGTAAATCTTCCCACACACTCTCCTTGCTTGTCTGTCAGTGCTCGTGAGCAGAGCGAAGTGCCAGCTCAGGAACAGGGAGAGCTGGGGGGAAATAGAACTGCTTTAGTTCAAGAGGGAGAGAGACAAAATCTTCCCAGTGTTAGCTGAAACAGCAGACTTCTTGAAAGCTCAGCAAACAGATGAGACTTTAGAAACTTGCTGTGCTTCGGTGAATTGCGATCCTAGAGTATGCGCAGACAAGTGTGTGAGATTTATTGTTGAAAATGTCCTTTTGTATCACAAATAGTATCCCAAGCGGTTGGCAAAAGAGTCTGCACCCCAGAAACAATTAGTCATTCCACAGAGTTATGGAGCTACTGTGCTAAAACTCTCTCATGAGTGGCATTTGCTGGACATTTTGGTATTAAGAGGACACTTGAGAAAGTTACTCAATATTTTTACTGGCCCTCAGGTGTGAGTGTGAAAGAATTTGTGAGGAGTTGTGACACGTCAGGAAGTGGGGTACGACAGAGACCACCCTAACGCTCCGTTCCAACCATCGTCTTCGGAAGCAAAGCCATTTGCAAAATGGGGCATTGATATTCTTGGCCCGTTTGCTAAGCCCACAGGATCTTGGGGAAAGTTTATTTTGACAGTGATTGATTTTTGTACTCATTATTGTAAAACAATTCCATTGTCAACTATTACAGCACCTAGTGTAGCAAGAGCACCTAGTGTGGTGTGTGGCCCAAGACAACCTGAAAGCCACCCAGCAAACTCAGAAGCATATGTATGAGATAAGGTTCTCATCTGAGACCTTCAAACCACACAGGATGTGTGCATTTGTTAAGCAACTGAATGCTGTGAACTATTTTGTCTCTTGCCCAGAAGAGCACCATAAGCCTAAGATCTACCATGTGAATTCTCTGAAAAGATATTATGAGCACTTGCCTGGAATGTTTATGTTAAGGAGGGAAGATGACTCTCCTGAATAGCCTTTGGATATGCTTTCAGAATGTCAACAACAGAGAGGGGCTGAAGACATACTTTTGGATCCTGTTTTAGATGAAGATCAAGCTGCTCAACAGTATGCTCTTTTAGATCAATTCAGAAATGTGTTCACTAGTCAGCCTGGCAGGACTCATTTGATTACTCATAGTATCAATACTGAAAATTCTATGCCTACTGCTAGCCATCCTTACTGGGTAAGGGGCCAGCATGGGAAGGACATTGCTCACGAGATACAGAGTATACTAGACATGGATGTTAATTCAGGGCTATTTTTGGGCAGGAACGCACAGGAACGGAGTTCCGGCTGGCTTCAGAGTTGGCCACGCCCACTACAGTCAAAACCTCTGTGTGCGTGGCTACAGAGGGAAGGCCTGGAGAGGTACACCCCACCCAGCGACTCCGAGGTGGGTGAGCCGGGGGGGCTGGAAGGATTGGGGAGGCATTTAAATGCCTCCCCATGCCTTCCTTGGCCTGTCCAAGGGCGGCTTGTCTGGGCTCCCTGCAGCCATGGGGCACTTAAGCAAGCCAAGGGAAGGCAGTTTAAACTGTCTTCCCTTCCCTTCAAGGGGGGGCTTGCCCGGGCTAGCCAAGGGAAGGCATGGGGTGTGGCCTAATACGCTAATGAGCTGCACTGTCAGGGTGTGGCCTAATATGCTAATGTGTTTCTGCTGTTGGGTGTGGCCTATTATGTTAATGAGTTCCTGCTGGGCTTTTTCTACAAAAAAAGCCCTGGATGTTATTAAACCAAGCCCTTCTGCTTGGAGCAGTCCTGTTGTTCTAGTGCCCAAGAAAGGTGGAGGAATACGTCTTTGTGTGGACTATAGGAGACTGAATGCCATAATTGTGCCTGATCAATTTCCCTTGCCTTGAATCGATGAACTGATTGAAAAACTAGGCAAGGCCAAGTTCATTCATGTTTTGGATTTGAATAAAGGACACTGGCAAGCATCCTCACTTAAATCTGCTTTTGTGACACACCTTGGACTATTTCAGTTTGTGCCTATGCCGTTTGGGCTCCGTAACATCCCAGCAATCTTTCAAAGATTAGTTAACATCTTGTTACATGGCTTGTCAAATTCTCATGTGCATACATTGATGACATTGCAATCTTTAATGACACATAGACAGACCACTTGAGTCAATCTGCTGGCCTCACCATCAAAGTACAAAAGTGTCAATTCGGTTTGGGGGAGGTTCAGTACCTAGGCCAAGGTACAATTAAGCCTCTAGATGCCAAGGTTCAAAGCATCCTAGATCAGCCTGTCCCTAAGACTAAGTGTAATGTTGAGAGTTTCCTAGGCCTATTCGGTTATTACAGAAGATTCGTCAATCATTTTGCGACCAAAGCTACACCTCTTACTGACCTGTGTAAGAAAAAACAACCTGTTAAACTTGTTTGTTCTATACAAAATGGAGAATTTCCTGAGTCCCACCATCAGGAGAGGAAGACAGGTCCTTTGTTTGTGTAGTACACTGGGTAAAACTACAAACATGCCAAAAGTTGCTTCAGTTTAATAGAAATAAATTCCAGTTCTCTATGCATGACGGGTAAGGTTGCCAGCTCCAGGAGGGGTAGGTTTGGGGAGAGGAGAGATCTCAGAGGGATATAATGGCACAGAGTCCACCTTCCGAGGCAGCCATTTTCTCCAGGGGAACTGATCTCTGTATTCTAGAGATCAGTTGGACATACATCGCCTACCTGGAAGTTGGCCACCCTGATGCAGGGCCATCTTCTTTCCTTCCCAGGTTACCTCTCTTTACCATAGACAGGAGAATTATCTCCTGCCTAGGCAGCAAAACAGAGGTTAATTCAGTGATAGACTTCCATGACTCTCCTGGGTGTGTTCCACCTTGAAAGGAAAAAACTAGAACTATGTAGTCTTATATATTAAGAATGTTTGAACTACACACAGAACAAGATGCATCATCCCACACAACTACTACAGAAAATACTTATCACTATTTGTGCCTCTGTTCATATGAACGTGGCCACACAAACGTTCAAAAAATATTAATTGCACACGTATTTGTCCTGTACATCACCGCTTATTCATAAAAGTCAGTAATTTTTCAAAACAGTTTTCACATTAAGGATCCCCCGAACATGATGAAGGAAGTTATATTAACACACCTTCCAACCCCCGAACATTTCCACTTAACATTTTAAAGATTCTTTCCCAATCCTTAATGAGTGGCTTACAGTAAGTTCAAGAAACTACACTTTTTCATGATAGAAGATTACAGAAATCCTTCCTGCTATTAAAGAATATCTTCTAACAAAGAGAATATTTAAAAAAGAAGCCAGATGAGGTAGTTAAAAGGGGGATGTTTGCCCCAGTTTTTCGTTTGAGGGGAAATTTTAAAACACATACCAAACACCATGACAATACCTCAGAATGTGCCACTGTTGTCCTGTGGCATTATGGGAAAAGTACCAGGGAGTGTTTCAAGCAAGCACACCACGCAACATTTGATGCCAAATGGCACCAGCAGGTATGAACAGACTCTGTTGGGAAGTTAGTGCCTTTAAAGTAACACTTGGGAATTATGAAAGTTTGATGTGGTGTAAATGCATGTTTGAATGAGCGCTCTGGGTCACTGTAATTTTATGTCCATGTATGTGTGACTGGGCTCTGAGATTCACAGTTTTTGTCTCTTCCTGCTACAACTAGAGTCGAAAGACATTTTTTGGGGTGGGTGGGTACTACATTGTAATTCTGTGTCCAAAAACATAAATCTCAACATCCAAACCAAATCTGTCGTTTATTGGAATCACTGTTCTCATTTTTGTGTTGGATTTAGGCTTTGGTGAGAGAACACCAATGTGTCCGAGTGCTCACAGTTTGGTGATGGGTCTTTCGAGTCTCATCCTGAAAACGGATTTGAGAACTCCGGTATTAACATTTTCAACACTTCTAAACTTCAGGTGTTCAAAAATTAGTTGTTTTTATCAAGGTGATGAGAAATCTCAGCTCAGTTCTAGCTATAGCCAACCGAAGTGGGCTACCCTCCCACCGAGAATCACTGCCTCCTATTACTGTCTTCCCTGTGCTCCTGATCCTCTCTCTGAAATGTACACCTCCCACCCTTTTAGTGCCACTTGCCAGTGACTTTTGCTACTGGGGAGCTGGATGAGAGGTAGATGGAGGAAGATTCGGAGTTTGGGGTGGGGCAGGAAGAGCTGTGATCAAGTTTTGTCCTCTGACGAGATCATGCCATCTCCTCCGCTGGGCGGTTCTGACCATCCACAACCTTTATATGGGTAAGACCCCAAGAGCGCTGACGCCAAGGAAGAACAGGATGGGTGCTACTGGCTGTGAGGTTTGGGAGGCGGTCGAACGAGGCTTCAAAATGGCAGATGCTTCCACTGTTCTGTTGTGGAGTCTCTGCAGGGGGCGGAAGTTGTTGACCAGGTGAGGCCCCACAGAAGAGTCTGTCGTACGGAGATCCAGTGGGAAATATGCTACCTATTGGAGGGAAGAAGGAAGAGAACAGGTTTTAAGGAGGAGGCAGAGCCTGGGCCCACACTGGCCACCCTGTTGGGGGAGAGAACGTATTAGAGCGACCCTTTTAGGTAGAATTGTGTGAGCCGGACAAATCAATGGGACAAAATGCAAAACAGAGTCTCAGTTGGAAGGGCCCTTTCTGCTCTTCCAAGCCTCTTCCTTCTCAAGACTTTAAGAAAGTGTCTCCAGCTGTAGTAGCAGCAGCTTCTCAGCTCACCTCACCAACTCTCCTTGAGACAACTACTTCTCCGGCCAGTGGCCTCAAGAACAAAAAGCTTGCCCTTCTTCTGTCACTTTAAGAGGGTTTGGATATGCAGAAGTCAGCAGATGGAGCTAAACGGGACACAGAATGCTAACAGGGACAAATGAAGCTCCTCCGTTAAAGGGAGAGGAACCGGCTCCAAAGATAACTGCTTTCCTCTTCCACCCAGCTAGGCCCTCCCCTCTGTATTCTGGCATCTCCCCCTCCCCTCCCATCGCCAACCAAGGCAGTTGCACTCACCACTTTGGAGGGCACCAGAATGGGATCCGCAAAGACAGTCCAGATTACGACCTCGTTGCAGTTGGGAGTGGTGAGGGACCCGCTGTAGCGGTAGTAGCGGGCGAGATTTGTGCGACCCATTAAGTCCTGGAGGGAGACGGTGCTTTTAATGTCTGTATCTGAACCTGTATGAGTGAAGGAGGAGGAAAACATACCATCTGTTTCAAACTGAAACCCATTTCAGACAGGCTTGAATGATGGTGGCGCCCAGCCAAGGGCCCCCGAGGGTTTCTGGCCAGTGCACAAAGGGAAAAAAAAATATCATGAAGATCCGGAGGGATCTTTAAAAACGTAACATTTATTTCAATGTATGTGAAGAAGTGCACTGTGACTCACAAAAGCGTCACCTTGAAATAAATGTTGTTCATTTATTGGGGGTAATATCTTAGTTTTCCATCTTTTTGCGATTAAGATTCTTGCTGCCGTTATAATATAAATAATTATATGTTTGTGTTTCTTAATTTCATCTGGAATCATATTCAATAAGAATATCTCAGGCAATAAAGGTAGCTTTATTTTCATGTTTTAAAATTAAAAAATAAGATATTGGAAATAGCAGAAATGGATAGAGTAAACATGGAATTAAAACAAAAATCAGAAAATAAGTATTGGGGAAAATGGGAAGGAATATATAAATGGCTGAGGATAAGGAGGATTAGTTTTGAGGAGAACTAGGCTAGCCAGAATAGGAAACCGAGAAAGAGCTAAGCGTAAATCATTACTAAATGTGTCTATACAACTTTTTGTGTTATAAACACTTGAAAACTTGAAAGCAACATTGTAGTAAATGCTATGTGAAGAAAAGTGAGGTAATTCACACTTTGCTTTGATGTGTGTACTTTGTTTTGATACTTTGTTTTGAATTGAATGATGTTAAGTAGTGTAATTCCAGCGTGCAATCCTCCCGTCAGGATGGTCGGGCGCCATTTTAAAAAATTCTTAGCGATATGCGCATAAACATGTAAACGCGCGACAGCCGCAGAGCTCCGCTCAAACGTTCCGGACAATTTCATGTTTCTAAACGGCCCATGAATTTTATGAACTGCATTAATTAATTAAAAAGGTACCTAGAGAGAGGTACCGCTGGTGGTGCTTTAACCATTCAACTCTGTGCATGCGCAAAAAAACAAGTACACATTGAGGCGCGGATGCGCATGTGCAAACAGAATTTTAAAAAAACCCAAAAAACAACTGCGCAGCTCCTTCAGGTGAATGCCGTCTAGACAATCCACCGCAGAGTACGCGCGCGATAAGGTGAGCTGTCTGGTCGTGCAATGCTGGATAAAAAAGATCGGGATCAAATTAGAGCTGGGCCAATTGCGGTATTAGCTGCCTGTCGGAATGCACAGTAACACAACTATAATTCCCTGTATTCATCAGGAGGAGCCATGACATGTCACCACTTTCAAAATGGCTGAAATGGGTAACACACAGGAGGAAATACATTCTCCTTTATTGTCCTATCTACGAGGGGCACCACTGTCTTCCTCAGAGGAAAGAATAGGGTTGGCAGCTCTGGGTTGGGAAATATCCGGAGGTTTTGGGTGTACAGCCTGAAGAAGGTGGGGCTTGAGGAGGGGAGGGACTTCAGTGGGGTAGAATGCCACAGAGTCCACCTTTGAAAGCAGCCGTTTTCTCCAAGCGAACTGATCTCTGTTGCCTGGAGATCAGTTGTGATAACGGGAGGTCTCCAGGCACCACCTGGAGTTTGGCAACCCTAGGGAAGAACCCTAGGAAAGTCCTTCCTTGACCTCCCCTGTCACCTACTCACCCTTCTTGGCGATTTTTTCGAGGTTCTTAGAAAAGGATTCCCATGCTTTAGCCGTCTTGCCCTTGGCACTGTCAGAAGCCTGCAGGAGACAGAAAACAGGAGAAAGGGGAAACTGAGGCATGGAAGAACAAAGTTCAAGCCCAGTGGCACCTTTAAGACCAACGAAGTTTTATGAGGTGTGGAAGGAGTGTGTGGCAGATAGGGTTCTGAGCTCTGAGTCCAGAAATACCTGGAGTCTAGGAAGGGCGGGCTCTGGGAAGGGGAGGGTGTCTAGCAGGGGACAGTGCCATAGAGTTCACCCTCCAAAGCAGCCATTTTCTCCAGGGGAACTGATCTCTCTTGTCTGGAGACTGTAATAGCAGGAGATCTCGAGGCCACACCTGGAGGTTGGCAACCCCAGGGGCAAAGAACCCGGGTGTCCTAGTAGTAGTACTCACACATTCCCTACTTTGATTAAATCTCTATTTCCCCTTCCACCTTTCCGAAACTAGCTTAAAAATCCCGGGCCCCAAAAGGCAGGAGTTGTGCTACTCTGTCCACGGGCACTGTCCCATAGCAGGCCCACCCTTCAAGGAAGCCCCTGAAACGAACCCTTTTGCCACTGAGGACAGAGGGCTGCAGTTTGGAATGCCGGAGGAAAGGCCTTATCCCACAACACAAGAGCTTCTTGAGAAAAGAGACGTGTGTATCGTGTAGGAAAATCTATCGTCGAGGAAGGATTTTTCGTTTCCTCCAGCTCTTCCATTGGCTGTTTTGAAATTTGGTTTAAGAGGCCATTCCCTTTTCTCAGGGAATTCTGGGGTTTCGGTTTCTGTGAAAGAGTGGCCGCCCTGACCTGCACAGCCCACACCAGCCTGACCTCGTCAGTTCTTGGAAGCCAAGTGGGGATCAGCCCTGGTTAGTATCTGGATGGGAGGCAACAGCATGGCTTGGAAGCCCTACGGGGTCGCTGTCAGCTGGCGGTGATGTGATGGCATTTTCCACCACAACAAAACAGTGGCAGAAATCAACAAACTACAGCTCCCAGGATTCTTGGGAGGGGGGGGGAACTCAGAGAATTCGCAGCACAGCCAAAGTTTGCACAGCAAGCCGGCCAGGAGAGCGTGGTCTGCGTCCCTCACCTGGACAAAAAATGCCAGCACAGCGATTCCTTGAGGATCATCCAATGCCTCTGACATGCTCATGTTGTTCCTGGTATGCACAATGTGTAGCTGAAGGGAGGAAAAACAGGATCAGTTTGGGATCCCTCTGCAAATCTCTTAGTACTAAATCTGCTACTTAATTGAGAATCTGTTCTCATATCCCCCTCTTTTACTTTTCACAAAGCCTTTTGGCTTAAAAGCCCTACATTCTGCTCTAAAATGTGTAAAGGTTACATTATGGTGGTTAGTCAGTGGTAAAACAGTGCTCTTTACACATGCTCAGAGGAACACTGTTATTTAGAGTCGCTTCTCCTTTTGCAAGGTGGACCTCTGGCTCAATTTAGGATGACTTCAGGTATTACGGTAATCATGATATGTGGCTTCTCCGGTCCTTGAAGCACCTTGAAGCAGAAGGAGATGGAATTGTCCCTTCTGTGCAACTCTGAACAGGCATAGGAGCCTCCTCGAACTCTGTGTCTGGCCTCACCAGCTGGCCTGGGGGGGTTTTCTATGTCCTCACCTCCATAGAGTACCGTTTGCCATCAACACAGTGCTCAGATCCTGGCTGGGCGGCACCATTTCCCCAATGGAAGTGGAGGGCTTTGGCTGTGTAGACATCTGGAAGGCCACTCCCACTGAGCAGGAGACCGTCTTTCAGTATGACATTAACTGTGGACAGAAAGCAAAAACTAAGCACATTTCTATGAATGAGGAGAGGTCTAGAGGCCTCCCCTCCCCAGTCAAATCCAGCTTTTGGGGTCACCAAGTGCTGCATTTGGCATCTATAAGAATCTGCCCCTCTTGTGCTGCTTATTCTGACGGTTTTATAATCTATATGGATTGGGTAGCTTTCGAATTCTCTTGCTCTATGCTTTTGTTTGTGCAACTGAGACAGTGAAACAGACAAACCCCTGGATTTCTTCTATTCCTGAAAATTTTGAAGGATTGTAGTTTGTGGCAGTGACTCTGTGAGAATGTGTGACGAGAGTAGTCTGTCTTTCAGAACGCATGGACCGGCAGTGGAACAACCACTACTCAGGAAAATGGCCTAGATCCCACTAAAGCAGCCGTTACTGATGTCTCCAATGTGACACTGGAAAAAAACAAACCAGCCCAGATGTGAGGACTCTGAGTAGGCTTGCCAACTCTGGGTTGGGGGATTCCTGGAGATTATGGGAGTGAGGCTTGGGGAGGGGAGGGTTTAGGGACAGCAAAGAGCTTGGCAGGGCATTGTGCGACAGAGGTTCACCCCCGAAGCAGCCATTTCCTCCAGGAGAACTGATCTCTGTTGTCTGGTGTTCAGTTGTAATTCTAGGTGATCTCCAGATCACACCTGGAGGTTGGCAGCTGTCTCTGTTAGTAGGATCTCCCAGGAGCTTAAAAAAATGGCCAATAAACAAAAGCTTTGCAGACAGGGCAGAATTCCCCTTCTGTTGCCATCTTCCAGCAGTGGGCAACAAGATTTTTCTGTCATTTGGCATTTTCTCGGTGATCTCTCCTTACTTTTATTTGGGGTGTGTGTGTGTGTGTGTGTGTGTGTTTTGTGTGCTTGCCTGGAAGTTATGGTTGACTTCTGGCGACCCCTACCGGGGGCCTGGACGTTTTCCAAAGAGGTGGCTTGATTAACCTGCCTCTGCATCCTGGCCCTGGTATTCCTTGGAGGTCGCCCTTCCAAGTAATTGCCAGAGCCGGCACTGCTTCGCTTCCAAGATGTGACGAGATCAGGCTTGCCTGACCAATGTTTTAATGGCTGTTTTTATGACTCCGTACGTATTTTAACTTTGTTTTTAATCTGTTTTAATGATGTGTGTCCGGGGGCCCCCCCGCTGGTTTTAACAATTTTAAAACGTGATGGTTTTTTTAAAAAAAAATCACGTATATTCTAAATGGTTAGCTGCCTTGGCGGACCTTGTGAGGCCAGAGAGGCGGGTTATAAATTTTGTAAATAAAGAATCCTGTCCTGAAGTTGTAGCTGGGGAGAAGGATAGGTCCTAGGGTTAGGAACTACCTGGAGGTTTTGGGGGTGGAGCCTGAAGAAGGCGGGGTTTGGGGAGGGGAGGGACTTCAATGGGGCATAAGGCCATAGAGTCCACCTTCCAAACCCACCATTTGCTCCAAGTGAACTGGTCTTTGTTGCCTGGAGGTCAGTTGTAATAGCGGGAGACAGGGGTCGTTTCGTAGAAAAAGAGCTAGGGGAAGTCATTAGCATAACTCATTAGCATATGCCACACCCCCTGACATCAGGGGCCCGGCGGTGGACCTGCAAGGCCGGCGGGAGTGCGAGGAAGCCCCGCCAAGGCCCTCCCTGGCCCAGGCAGGGGTGGGGAGAGGCAGGGAGGAAGCAACTTACCCTCCCTCTTCTCCTGCCTCCTCCTGGCTGAATGAGAGCCGGAAGCGGGGTGGCCGGAAGCAGGGGGCGGGGCTTCATCGTGTGGCCCGCCCCCACACCTCACCCGGGGGAACTGCGATCCCCCGCGTTCCCCCCGAAATGACCTCTGTCGGTAAATCTCCAGCCTCAGAGGTACAGCCTGCATGCACATGCACCCAGCAACTTTCCCCCAGCCTTCAAAGCAGTCCTGTGCGGGAGCTCATTCGATTTATAAAAACCCACAAGCGTTATGGATCATGGCTCTGTTGTGTCTGGGGCTGGTCTGGCCCTCATTCCAGGAGTTTCAAGGAGACTTAATCATAATAAAAATTGCCAGCCAGGAATGAGTGTCTGTATTAGTAATTCCCAAATTGTGACCACGATGAAATCACTTGAGTGCTGCAAGAGCTACATCAATTAAACCAGCAAAGGCTCCTCCTGGGAACCCAAATTACCGACCCACGGAGGAGGCTGCTTGTTGCAGCTCTGCATGATTTACTGTTCCGGCCTTCCTTGCTTCCAGTCAGGCTCTGCTGGGATCAAGTTAACTGAACGCTGCCCCCTCTCTGCATCAGGTGTAACTGAATCATCCATGAGAGGGGTGCACCAGAACTGCTCTTAGAGACGGCTGCCTGTTGCATCTCTACATGAGTCGCTGCTCAGGGTTACCTCATAATCAGAAGATGCGTCTCAAACAGCATGAACACAACAGGTGTGGTCAGAGGGCAGGAATTCTTAGTCTAAAAGAATAAATGAAAACCTTTTCAGGTGTACGAGTGAAACGTGTCTCCCAAGTTCAATTTAGGTCTCAGAACAGGGCCCTCAACCCTTTTGATCCTGGGGGCACCTTTGGAATTCTGATACAGCATGGTGGGTGCAGCTGTCACAAAATGGCGGCCACAGAAGGTGGAGCCAGCCACAAGATGGCTGTCAAAATGGCTGTTGCAGCTTACCTTCAGGCACAGGGAGAAGATCCTTGTGTTGTGGTGGCAGCTGCTGGCAAAGTAGTGTTTTTTAAAAAAACTGCCCAGCCAATCAAATCTCCAATGGCCAAAAGCCCCACCTGGTCCCACCTGCTTTATTTATTTTTATTTTATTTCTTTGATTTCTAAAACTACTTGGTGGGCACCAGTCAGCTGGCACCAGGGTGCCCACAGGCATCACGATGGGGACTCCTGTCTCAGAAGACGGAGGAACACTTTATGTGACACGGTGTCTACAAACTACAGGGGCAGGGAGGGAAAGTACAGTTGGCTTGGAGCATGACCTCCTTCCAGGTGACTCCTGCATTCCAAGTTTTTTTCCGGCACCTTGTGGGCCGGAGGCCAAACGGTTCATAAAAAAGCAAAAGGACCTGGTGGTCACCTGTTTTCCCCGTGTTCTTCATATCCCGCAGCTTTTTGTAGTTGTCATAGCCAGAAAGGGTGACGGGGTCCAAGGTGGAGTTGAGGACGGCTTTGGCCGTGATGATGTCGATGGGGGACTGTCTCATCTCGCCACAATGGCCAAGGGACACCCATGTTGGAGGTCCTGGCGGGAAAGGGAAAAAAGGGAAGAGTCAGCACGGGAATGAGATTCGTTGTACTGGAATAATTTTCAAAGGGGGTTGCTGAAGGCCGAACTAAATTTGGGAGGTCTCTGATTAGGAAATCCATTTTTTTAAAAAAGGAAACGGTGAAAGCATTTGCAAGAGGGACGGGGTTGCGCCTTGCATTACCAACCTCCAGGTGGGGCCTGGAGATCTCCCGGAATTACAACTGCTCTCCAGACGATGATCCGTTCCCCCTGGAAAAAATTCTTGCTTTGGAGGCTGTGGGGTATTATACCCCACTTATATTCCTCCCTTTCTGAAGCCCTGCCATTCCCAGGCTCCACCCCCAAATCTCCTGGAATGTCCTAACCTGGAGTTGGCAAGCCTAGCTGCAGCACCGAGGAAGGCTGGACTTTCTTCCTCTGCCATTTTACCCCTAATGAAAGGGCCCTTGGGAATCTGCCCTCTACCACGTGGGGTGGGGGAAATACACAGAGGCCCCTGGGACTCTAACTGATCAAAAAGCCATACACTCAGAGGTCATTTCGGGGGGGATCGCGGGGGATCGCAGTTCCCCCGGGTGAGGTACGGGGGGGCGGGACACATGACGAAGCCCCGCCCCCTGCTTCTGGCTGCCCCGCTTCCAGCCCTCATTAGTTGGGGGCGGGGTGTGTGGCCTTATGACACACTTCCGGTGATGTCAGGGGCTGTGGCCTTATGACACACTTCCGGTGATGTCAGGGTGTGTGGCATATGCTAATGAGTTATGCCAATGAGTTCCCCTAGCTCTTTTTCTACGAAACGACCCCTGCATACACTGCTGGTATGTAGCCCTCCCACTAGATCCCAGGTCGGTGCAGTGACTAAGTGGAGAAAGAAGTGCTCTCTGCATATGTTCAGAGACATGTTAACACATTCCAGTGTGAAAATAAATTCTGACCAGAGAACCTCAAAATGAGCCTTGCTCAGAATCTGGGGTTAAAGAGAAAAACAGCAGTTTCTTACCGCAGTGTTCTTCACCGTAGCACCAGGGACCTACAGAGGAAAGAAGCAGAGATGGTGTGAGTGCAAGGAAAAGAGCCTCAGTTATGGTTACCATCCACTAGGTGGGGCCTGGAGATTGCCCAGAATTCCAAGCGGTCTCCGGATGAAAGTGATCCGTTCCCTTGGAGAGAATGGCTGCTTTAGAGCAGACATGTCAAACATAAGGCCCGGGGGCCAGAACTGGCCCATCAAGGGCTCTTATCCGGCCTGCGAGCAACTCAGGGGAAACCAGTTCAAATTAGGACCAGAAGACCTATTTTAGGGTATTATACCCCCTGCTGAGGTTCCTCCCTTCCCCAAATGCAGGCCCTCCCCAAGGTCTTCCCCCAGCAGTGTTCCCTCTAAGCTGAGTTAGTGCGAGCTAGCTCACAGTTTTTTAACCTCCAGCTCACACATGTTTGCCTTAGCTCAGGAAGGATGGTTCCAGAGCAAACTAATTTATGCAGTAGCCAGATTGCTCGCTCACAACTTTAATGCCAGCAGCTTACAAAGTAGAATCTTTGCTCACAAGACTCCACAGCTTAGAGGGAGCATTGTCCCCCAGATCTCCAGGGATCGCCCAGCCAGAGGTGGCAACCATAAGGGGCAAGGAGGGCTGGTTTGGCCCCGAGCTCTGCTGATTAGGAGTATGTTCACAGCCAATGCTAAGTATTTCTGGTACCTGGCATTACATTTTACACTATACATGGCCTGGCCCAACAAAGTGACATTTATGTCAGATCTGGCTCTCGTGAAAAATTAGTTGAACACCTCTGCTTTAGAGGGTGGACTCTATGGCATTATACCCCACTGAAGTCTCTCCCCTCCCTAAATCCATCCCTCCACCCCCAAATCTCCAGGAATTTCCCTACTCTGAGTTAGCAACCCTAAAAGCAGTTAGCGGGTCAAAATAGGATCTGAGACACCCAAGTTAAGATCCCCCCCCCATGAAGCTTGCTGGATGACCTTGGGCCAGTCACTCCGTCAGCCTCACCAGCCTCACAAGGTGGCTGTTGTGAGGACGAAAGGAGGAAAAGAGAACTAGGGACTGTGTGTCATGCCTGCCCCTGCTGATGTCATGCCTGCCTTTGCTGATGCCCCTGAACAGGCTCCTGAGGACCCTGAACAGGCTCCTGAGGACAGTACTGCAGCAGAAAGGCAAAGACTGGATCCTGTAGCTGAAAGCTATCTAAGTGGTGAGGAGGATAGAGCCTCCCAGGGAACACCTGCAAGGGATCAGTCTCTGCTGCAGCCCAGTAATTCATCATCAGACTCGCCTCCACCTGTAACCAGGCTCAGGAATGTAAGAAGACAACAGCTGAGAGAGCAAAGGCAGAATGCACGCATGCGTGCCAGAAGATCTCTTAGCCCTGATTACTGACAGGATCCTGTCCTCACTCCTGGCTAGCTAATGAGTTGATTAGCTAGCACTGTATATATGCAAGTCTGTTGCCAGCAGTCATTTGTGCTGGCAACGTCGTTTGTTCAGGACCTGAATCCTTGCATCTCTGCTCCAGACCTTGTGGAATTCTTCTCGGCTTGATCCTCGGCTTTTGACCTTTGGCTTTGTTGACCCTGCGTTCATCTCTGACTCCTCTGGTATTGTTGTGATTTATGGACTTGAAACTTTGGTATGTCTGACCCTGCTTTTGGACTGTGATTTAAACCTGCTTGAACCTTGCTACCTGATTTGCCCGGCTTGACCTCGGACTGTTCCTGGACTTTTGCTTGCTTGTGTCACGCCCCCTGGTCCTGCCGTGACACCGTGGTCTGAGCTTCTGTAGGAGTGGGTGGGTGGGTGGGTGGGACAAAAATGGACTAGATAAACAGGAGTCAGTCAGGGAACTGCAGCCAAAGTTCTAGACCCGGATGCAGTTTAGGATGGAAGCAAATATGGCTCTTTAAGAAAAAAATGAAATTTTAAAATGAAAGGGGGGAGGTAGGATTATTGATTAACCCAGGGGTCGTTTCGTAGAAAAAGAGCTAGGGGAACTCATTAGCATAACTCATTAGCATATGCCACACCCCCGGAGATCAGGGGCCTGGCAGTGGACCTGCAAGGCCGGCGGGAGTGCGAGGAAGCCCCGCCAAGGCCCTCCCCGGCCCCAGGCAGGCAAGGGTGGGGAGAGGCAGGGAGGAAGCAACTTACCCTCCCTCTTCTCCTGCCTCCTCCTGGCTGAATGAGGGCCGGAAGCGAGGCGGCCGGAAGCAAGGGGCGGGGCTTTGTTGTGTGCCCCGCCCCCCACACCTCACCCGGGGGAACTGCGATCCCCCGTGATCCCCCCCGAAATGACCTCTGGAATAACCTATAGGTGAAGCCAAGGACAGGCACAGGGAGGGAGGAACTAAAGGGCTTCTTACAGGCCTTTGGAAAGGAAAATGACAGAGGTGAACAGCTACCAATAAACCAAGTGCAAACCATGCATAGATCTGTGCCAGTTTATTAAGACAACCATATGGCACGCTCCGGTTTATATTTAGTATTTATTGTGAGGCCTCACAAGTGCCATTTTTCTAAGAAGGAACTCACAGCAAACACAGGTGGGGCCAGCGAAACTTTCTGGACATTGACCAACATGTGATCTATCAATAATGTTAAGAATTATATTTTCAGTTATGTAAATGCAATTTCTTGCACTGGCTCTTTGTTGACCTCTTGCTCTGAATCCTGCGCTAGTCTTGCTTGTTAATTGTAAGAGGTTTCTGACCCCTGGAATGGATAGAAGTGCCATACAATTCTGACCCCTTCATCATGACCTCTAGCGAAATGAAACCCTGGCAGTTAGGAATGTGCGCGCGCACAATAGCCTTACCTTCCACAGCTGCGTAGCAGGCCCCTGAAAGCAGGAGAACCATTGTGGAGATTCCTTGTACTCTTGTGAGAGCCATGGTATGCACGCCTGCTAGGGAGAAAGAAGTAGGAGAAGGTGTTAAATGACACACAGTTTGAATAAGTGTGTATTCTAGACTTCGCCATTGCCTATGCCAGGGGTCCACGACACGGTGCCCATGGGCACCTTTCCTGGCAAAAAGAAAAAGAGGACTGAGGTGCTACCACCATAAACAACTAGAGAGCAATTGAGCCAGCAACATGAGATAGAGAGCAATTGCCAGTCAAATTGAAAAAAGAAGGCTTCTAACCAGATAAAAAAGAGAACTGGTTGCTACTACTAGAAATAAATTAACTGACTTGCTCCTAATTCAAGCACTTGAAATGAACCAGAAGATAATTTGAAGAAAGTAAAAAGGAAGTTAAGCTGTATCAAGAGGCTGACACCTTTCGATTTAATAGGATTATTCCTGAGGAAGATTGGTGAAATGAGTTTACAATCGGGTGCTCATTGAGGATGATGGATTTTCCTTGAGAATGTTAGAATTTTCTTAGTAACCTCTCTATATAATAATTCTGTTTTGGTCATGGACTCTCCTGAACATTCCACATGCTCCCAAATCAGTTGGCTCCCCGATCTGTCACTCAGAGACTGTCCCTATCCACGGGCTGTGTTGCCTGAGTCTCGCCTCCAATATTCTAAACAGTTTGGTGTTCCTCTCCCCCCAATAGCCAGTCAGAACACAGAGGTCATTTGCATATGCGGTCTGATTGGCCTTTGCCTCTAACATTCTAAACAGTTTGCTGTTGCTGTTGGAAGTCATTGAATGTGTCCTGAGGTAAAATACATATCCCAATTTTCCCTTAAACGGTCACCGGAGTTGCCAAAATACATATCCCAACCTTCCTTTAAACGGTCACTGGAGTTGCCAATCTTCCTGTGGGGTCTGGAGATCTCCCAGAAATCACCATGTTCCCCAGCCACAGCACATCATTTCCCCTACAAAAAATGTCCCAGCTATTACAATGGCTGCTTTGGGCAGTGGACTCTATGGCATTATACCCTGCTGAAGTCCCTCCGCAACCCAAACCCTGCCCTCCCCAGGCCCTACCCCTCAAATCTACAGGTCTGGCCCTCCCCTTAGTATTGCCAGCCTCCAGGCAGCACCTGGAGATCTCCAAGATCAGTTCTCCTGGAGAAAATGGCTGCTTTGGGCAATGGACTTTATGGCATTATACCCTGCTGAGGTTCCTCCGCACCCCAAACCCTGCCCTCCCCAGGCTCTACCCCTCAAATCTACTCTAGGTATTTCCCAACCCAGAGTTGGCAACCCTGTAACTGGCTATGGAACCGCTTTCCAGACCCTTGAAACCCAGAAGACATGGCATAGGAGGAGGAGCTTTTCTACCTTAGCTGCCACTGCATAACCCCAAATCAACATAAATCGGGGTGGAGGGAACCATACCTGTTACCATAAGGCTGTCCTCCCATACTACCCACTTGGGGCAGCAAACAGCCCTGCCTTATAGCTATGCAGAAGGAAATAAACATGGCTTGCCTCCCTGTATTTCCCCCTTCCCTCTGCTGCCCCACCAGCCACAGTTGGGACACTCACCTGGAGCTTCCTTCTAGAGCTCGTTGTATTTCTTCCTACAATGGGCCTTACTCCTAGTTTTGTATAAATTCAATTAGTAATATATTTTGATGTTCATAAGATTTATTAAATGTTATTATCATTTTTATCACAGTGTTTGTTGGAACCCTAGCCTTTAATGGGGAGAAGACCCCTTCCAGTAACTCTGCCATCTAAGGGTGACACAGGTGATAATATTCATTCAGTAAGTACAAATGCTGAAGAGCTACCACATCTCAAGTCTACTGTAACATAAGTCATTCTTGTGATATGTTCATAAAGGTGAATTTTTAAAGGATAGAGATATCCCCTCCCCTTCTCCAGTGACCATAAGGTCTGGAAACTTTTCTGATATGGGGGGGGCAATAAAACAAGCAAATGTTTATAAAACTTCTTGGCTGTACTGAACAGAGATGGGTGGAGTTATATTGCGGTGAGTTATAATCCACACAGTGGTGTCATACATGCAAAAAAAAAAAACAAACAAACCCGCACACGCACACACATACAAAATGAAATAAAACATAACGCTGAAACCTCTCAGCTAATTAAAAGATTAAGCCTCGTTGCCAAAAGCCACCCTGGACAGACAGGTCTTGTAAGTGGCTCAGGCCTTAGCAAGTCTCGGGAGCGTCAGAGGAAGGGGAGGGAGTGCTATACCTGTGGGGCAGCAGGCAGCCAGGGACTCTTTCCTTCCAGGCTGAAACTGGTGCCTGGAGGGGGCGGGGAAAGGCTACAGCTTAACAGACCAGCACAGGCCTTGAGTATCGAAGGTCCCGGGCAATGTTCCCTCTAAGCTGTGGAGTCTTGCGAGCAAATATTCTACTTTGTGAGCTCCTGGTATCAAAGTTGTGAGCCAGCAATTGGGCTGCTGCATAAATTAGTTTGCTCTGGAGCTGTCCTCCCTGAGCGAAGACAAAAATATGTGAGCCAGAGGCTAAGAAACTGTGAGCCAGCTCACACTAACTCAGCTTAGAGGGAACACTGGTCCCGGATTTGATTCATAACATTTCCTGCTAAAAGCCAGATGTGGCCAGGAAGGGTGCCTGCTAAGTTTGCCAGCTCCAGGTTGGGAAATACCTGGATGTTTTGGGGTGGATCTTGAGGAGAGCAGGGTTTGGGGAAGGAAGGAATATCAGTGGGGTGTAATGCCACTGAGTTCGCCTTCCGAAGGAGCTGTTTTCTCCAGGGGAACTTATCACTGTCGCCTGGAGATCAGGTGTGATAGTAGGAGATCTCCAGCCACTACCTGGAGAATGGCAACCATAGCCCCTGCCCAAGACCCTGGAGAGCCACGGCCAGTCAGTCCTACAGGACCAAACAGACCAGCGGTCTGAATCAGTGGAAGGCAACTTGGTCTGGCTCCCTTCCATCGTGCCTGCAGCTACAGCAAGCCAGATGAGATTTCCCTCCTGCCTCCTTCCATGTGGCCCTGGGGGGGGGGGCAGCCTGCAGAGACCCTCCCCCTGGAACAATTGTCTTAGCTGCCCTTTGTGCTGTCTTTTGACAGCCGCGAGCAGCTTTTGCAGCCAATCTTGGGAAGAGAGGCAGAATTTAAAGTATACGAATTAAACCAACAAACCCATTCATTGAATTAATTTGGCTCTCT